AGTCCCAGTGCAACAGTGCAAAGCCTGCTTATCCTGGCAGGGAGCCACACGCAGGATGGCCCCGGTTCGGTTAATTCTTATCGAATCCATTAGAAAGATCAAATAGCTATTTCTTTTTAAAAAGTTCCCAATTTTTGTTCTCATGAAGATGAAGAACTTTATAGACTGAAAAAGTTAAATCCAAATCTCGTTTCCTAACTAGCAGCTGGGAAGCTCACTGAATTACAGAACCTGGATTTTAGAAGGATGAACAAGACTTCCAAAGGCAGCACAGAATATGATTTACATTGCCAGCTGTAGGAGCCATGTGTCACTTACTAGCTAAGAGACCCTTGGGTAGTTCCTGAACCTTTTTATGTCTCCATTTCCACATCTGCAAAATATAGGTGCTGTTGTGTGTGTAGTAAGCCTCATGCAACCGTAAGGACTCATTTTTATTTTTTAATTATGTGTGTGGAGGAGGCAGGGACTGTGCTCAACAGTGCAGGTGCCCTTGGAGGCTGGGGTGCCAGACCCTCCCGGAGCTGGAGTTACAAGGCGGTTGTGAGCTGCCCAGCATGGGTGCTGGGAATGGCATTCAGTTCCTCTAGGAGAGCACATCACTCTCCTATGTGCTGGATTATCTCTCCAGCTCTTCCTCGCAAGTTTCCTAGACACAAATTTTAAATGAGCTGACTAAATGTGTTTCTTTGTTAGGAGTAGTTTGTATTTTCAGCATTCTCCCGCTGGCTAGCATCCTTCAAGGCTTTTGTTGCTAATAATTCCTACTAAGCCTAGACAGGTTAAACCGATGCCTAAAGAGATTTGGGTTACATTTAGGTGCATTTCAAAATGTTAAGAGAAAGGTATTTGTTCTTTGTCCAGGTTCCTGGGGTTGGGCTTCTGGAACTTATGAGCACGTCTTGTACTCTGAGGCCAGGTGACGGCAATGAAGCTTCAGCCTCACCCCACAGACTCCAAGGAGAGGAGCTGGAGAGCGGACAAAAAAACCCTCAAGTGACATTGGCAGAGCTTCCAGTTGGCAACACACTGCCATACAGGGAGGATGGCGCCCCCAAAGAAATGAAGCCTTATGCTACCTCCTAGTTAGGGTTTCTATTGAAACACCATGACCAAATGCAACTTGGGGAGGAAAGCGTTTATTTGGCTTACATTTCTGCATTGTCGTCCATCATGGAAGCCAGGACAGAAACTCAAGCTTGGCAAGAACCTGGAGCCAGGAGCTGATGCAGAGGCCATGGGGGCTCCTGCTTACTGGCTTGCTCCTTATTGCTTGCTCAGTCTGCTTTTTATAGGACCCAGGACCACCAGCCCAGGAATGGTGCTACCCACAACAGGCTGGGCCCTTCCCCATCAATCACTGATTAAGAAATGCCTTACAGCCAGACCTTGTGGAGGCATTTCCTCAGTTGAGGTTCCCTCCTTTCTCATAGCTCTAGCTTATGCTAATATCAACTTACTGTATACCTTTCCCGAGTCCTATCAGTCTTTTTAGAGAATTACAAAAACTCCCAAATCTCTACTTCCCCAGCAGCAGTATGGACAGCTTTGTCCATTTGTGGCTAGCAAACAAGAGAGACTTTCAGTCTGTTGGGTCTGGGCCAACTCCAGACAGTGCCGGAAGTAAACCAAATCAAGACGCTTAGTTGGGGGAGAACCCTGCGTGCTTTCTATCAGAAAATAACCCGTGACATGGCTCCAGGACGGCTGTAAGAAGGGAAGACCTTCTTACACGGGCCATGACATTTAATAAACGTCTGTTTTGTAAACTCATCTCCCCTGCAGGGCAGAGACCTTCGGGGAGACTGTAGGTCAGTTCTGAAGGAAGCCAGCCACTGTGTCATGAGGATGCTCAAGTGGTCTCATGTGGTAAAGAGCTGAGGCTCCCCACTGACAACCGTGACCATGCCATCCTGGAGCAATCCCCACAGCCCCACAAAAGTCCTCCTGCCGACTGTAGTTGGCTGAGAGACCAGCCCCAAAGCAGCAGCCCAGCCACACAGCTTCCGGCTCCTTAGAGGCTGGGCAATAACAGCAAACACACTGTTTGAAGGTGCTGCTTGGGGGGAAAACTTACCCTACGGCACAGGCAACTGGCAGTGTGTACATAGGATGTGCAGTATAAACAGTTCCCAGGCTTGACTCTTCCACTGGTGAAATCCATCCCCCTGCCTCAAGAGCTAGTGCCAACGGCATCAAGGTGCAGGGCCAGAAACAGTTTCTTTCTTCTCTGCCTGGCCAGGGCACGCTGGCTTATTCTGCCACAGAGTTTACTGCCTAGGATAAGCGTGGTGACTCTGGGCTGGTGGGAGCATGCCACAAGAAAGCTGGTAGCCTCACTACAGAGGGAGGAAGGCAACATAACGTCTGGGCTTTGGTTCTCCATCTTGCAGGGGGCAAACGCTACTTTACCAGAATATTCAGAGACGTGGAAAACTTAAAGGCCCAAGGGCAAACACACAGAAACTAAATTCGAATGAGATAAATATATAAGCCAGAGAGCACCTTTGAAGCTTTTATAGGTAGACTGGACTCGCGGTTCCCGGCCAGAGCTCCTCCTTTGTCTGGAATGAGGTTCACGGCTATGCCTGAAACTAGAAAGTGGTCCAGTTAAGCCTGCAATTAATGTTTTTTAAAAAAGTAGCTACATTTGAGGTACGTTCTTTTTATCTCAAGCCACAGCTGGTCCTTTTGAAATGAGAGAACTTTAGCCACAGAACAGCTTACAGCTCCTGGATTCCAGAGCCACACATAACACTGTACATTCGCCGTGATACTCGTTTCTCTAACGTCTGTTTTGGTAAACTCTCTGTTCACGTTTTCTGCTCTCGGATGAGTTACTCTTCCTTCATCATCTACAGAGTGAGTGAGAAATGCCAAGGGTCTTCTCATTACCTTTCCCCCAGGGCCTTGTGCTACATGCTCCGGCCTCACGTGACTTCATTAGGTTGTGCTCTCTGGGGCTTTTGTTGGCAGACCCTTAGGTAGAGTCTGGTCTCACCACTGCCCTCACAGGCTGACAGTTCAGAGCACAGCAGAACCTGCCCAAGAGCATCTCGTAGCCAGCGTAGAGGTCCCAGGTAGCAGTGTTTAACAGCGCTGGGGATGGAAAGCTGCACTCACACATCTGCGGAGTGTTCCACCTCCAAGCCTCAGCTTCAGCTCTGGTTTTACTCTTTGAGACAAGGTCTCACTAAGTTGACCAGGCTGGCCCAGAACTCAGGATATAGGCCAGGCAGACCTGGAACTCTCCATCTTCCCACTCAGGGGCCAGAACAGCTGAGATGACCGGCTGTACCATCTGGCTCAATTCTGTAATTTCTGATGCTTTACTGAGAGAATTTCTACGACTAACAGAATTCTGACTTCATCATCAGGGGTTACAAAGGGACTGACAGCTATAAAAAAAAATAAAAATAAAAAAAAGAAACGAAAAACACCAGCACTCTGTTCCGTAACTCTGTTCAGCCCGCTACAGCTGAGTGCTCTGGCCCAAGTCAAGCTTATTCTAAAATTAAATCTCTTCACCAGTTTCAGAAATATAGAAACACAGTCTAGGTCCTAGTCACAAAAAATGAAGTACCGAGACACTAGTATTTTACCATCTTATATTTATCTTAAAACTTAGTATCTTGGTACTAATGTCTACTCATTCACAAGCTGAAAAGTTGTGTTCTAGGAATGGTACGTACTATTGTACCGGATTATTAAGATATGAGGGGCTGAAGGTGTGGCTCAGTAGTAGAATGTGCTCGACACATATGAGGCACTGAAAGAAGTGAGATCACAATGTAATCCTTGCTGGGCAGCGGTGGCACGCTTGTAATGCCAGTACTTGGGCGGCAGAGGCAGGTGGATCTCTGTGAGTTTGAGGCCAGCCTGGTCTACAAAGAAAGTCCAGGACAGCCAGGGCTACACAGAGGAACCCTGCCTCAAACAAAACAAAACAACCAACCAAACACAATGCAGCCCTTCATTTTTTATTCTCTGTATAATCAGATAAATGACATTCTATATACTTACTAGTAAGTGATTAGTACTAGTGCAAATAACTTCGTAAATATTTCAAAGTATTTTAGTGTTTCTCTCACACATTACCTGTGTGCATGTGTCTCTCAAGGTGGAGCACGTGGGGGATGAGAGGACACCTGATGGGAGTCAGCTCTCTCCTGCCGGGCGAGTTCCGGGGACAGAACTCAGGCCAGCAGGCTTGGTGGCAGGTGCCTTTGGCTCTTCCACACTGAGCAGTCTCTCCAGCCCCTAGTCGTAGATTTATTGTTATCCTCAGACACTTAGGAAGACACTAAGCGAAGTGGTCACTTACTGGCTGTGTTAGCCAGAGACCATTTCTTCTGGCTCTACTTGAGGCCTCTCTTCCTGAAGGAACACATACATATACCGTTTTTTAAAGCAGACTACACTCAGTGGCTGCTGAAAGCTCACCTGCATTTTCAGTGTGAGCCAGCCTTTAACCGTGGAGCCATCTTCTGGCCCTCACATGTATTACCACTTCATTCACTTTTTGTGTGTGTTTTGCCTACGCATTATGTACGTGCCCCGCTTGCATGCCTGGTGCCCTCGGAGGTTAGAAGAGGGTATCAGATGCCCTGGAACTGGAGTTGCAGATGACTGTGAACCATCAAGTGGGTGCTGGGAATCCAACTCGGGTCCTCTGGAAGAGCAACCACTGAACCATCTCTCTAGCCCCTCACCATCATTTTTATTTAAACAGCTATCAATACACAAGAGGCAAAGGTAAAAACCTCACTGTGAAGTCCCATAAATATTAATAATAAAAATTGAGGGGCTGGAGAGATGACTCAGAGGTTAAGAGCACTGTCTGCTCTTCCAGAGTTCCTGAGTTCAATTCCCGGCAACCACATGGTGGCTCCCAACCATCTATAATGAGATCTGGTGCCCTCTTCTGGCGAGCAGGTGTACATGCAGGCAGAATATTGTATACATAATAAATAAATAAATCTTAAAAACTGAGGCAGCTATTTGGGAAGATTAATGCAAGTAGTCAAACTTTTATTTAGTTATTATGGTACATGGTTACATTAGAATATAAACATAATAATATGAACATAATATCACAGGTAGTCTTTTACGTAATAGATGCCTCGCTAATATTTTGTATGATAAAAGATAACCTGAGTCTATAAGTTACCAGAACAAGGACAGGGAATCAATACACTCCATATAAATTACAAAGGTAGTTACAAGGGGACCCACCTGTATCCGTAACTCAGTAAAGTCAACATGATGCTAACATCCGTAACCCAATAAAGTCAATATGATGCTAACGCACTGAGTCCTTCAGAAGCTGGCAGAGATGGCTCACTCTCCTCACAACTTAATTCTTAACTGGAGTTGAGCCACCTTTCATTGTCTTCTTCAGGTGATGGTAATTGGGCAAGATTTTCATCAAGAAATCCAGCTGCAGCGTCTGGGGCTGAAAAGATGAGAGAGTGAAGATGGACAAAAAGCAAGGCCAACAATACCAGCTAGAAATGATCTGAGTTCATGGAATTCAACATGCTTTTCACTGATTTACTCTTCCTTAGCTGTGTGCTGTCTTAAATCTACTTTTGTATTAAATCTATTACTACAGGCCATGCAGGAAGCCCGAGAAGAAATAAAGGCAGACGATTTCACATAGAAAAACATACAGAAGGCCATTTCTGAATTTGCTTGGATTTTTATCCTGGCTTCTCAGCATGGATGTGCCTCCCACACCCCTGTGCTGCCTCTGGCTGAGCTTTACTTTCCATAGAGCAAAGCTCCCTAACACTGTCCATCTCCTGACGGCAACTCACTTGAGGGACGTGTGAACAGCAAGGACTCCACCCTAGACAGTGTCAGAGCCTGAGGGACCTGTCTTAGTAAAGATGGGTGACGTCTGGGAGACAGCAGCACACCTCTGATGTGTGCAAGACTTCTGATGCTCTTATTCACTTCCTCCTAGTTTCCTTTCTCCAATTCTAGCTTTATTTTCCCCCTTTAATCACTTTTGTTACTACACAGAAAGATAATAAAAAAGCTAAATTCCCTTTCAGTCTATAGAATTCTTTCTCATAATAGTAACAACAATGCTAAGACTACAAAAGAGGAGTAACCCATGGGGTGAGGAGGAGCTCAGTTGGGTATAGGGTATGTCTTAGCATGCGTGAAACCTTGGGTTTGCTTCTCAGCACCACACAATCAGGCATAGTGAAGTGCACCAGTAATCCCAGCCCCAGGAAGCTGGAGCCAGAAGGACAGAAGTTCAAGGTCATCCTTGGCTATAAGTTCCAGACTAGCAGGGATGACATTAAATACTGAGAAGTGGAGTAATCTAGAAAGAACTGGTTTGAATTTATGATAAAAATATGGTGAAGAAAGGTCAAGTATCTGATGTCTTGGTGATATTTTTTTTGTAGGAGAGGGTAAGGAAGCTCAAGCAATCTATACTGACTGTGCCACAACATGAGCTTCAAAACTCCAGTCTGAATGTCTCATGTCTAAGGGGCGCTGAGAGGCTTGAGCCTTTCATCCCCTGGTCCAGCATCATTCTCAATCTGAGTTATTAGGAAGGGATGATTTCCTGTAAGTCTGAGAAATACCTACACATACTTCCCTTATTCATAAGCTGTGTTCATAATCAAGCTATGGCACTTTCATAAACTAAGTTAGAAACTCACTGTGGCATTTGTGGGGTCATTCCTCATCTTGAAGAGTTATGTTTTGGAAGTGAATCAGTGAATTCATATTTTGGTGAGAGGTTCAATGGTGTATCAGATAACTGTACAAACACAGTGATTATATATACACATTGATTTTAATCTAAAGATCACGATTGAATTTCAAATAAATCCAAATTTGGGGAATGTTTCTCCGATGTTTTATTCAGTTTCCTTTGGGGATGGAACCCAGGGCCTCGTATGCTAATCATACCACTGAGCCACACCCCCCGGCCGCTAACCACTTGCTGCCCATTGAGGTAGTCATGTGGGACTTGGGGAAAGTTAGTGGTCCTAGAAAAACTCCTTTGAAAGAGGACCTGTGGCCGCTCCGTCTGCACCCGTCGCAGGCAGTCTGCACCGTAGATCACTGTGTTCTCAGGGATGGCTTCAAAAGTGTTCAGGTTGCAGCACGCCCCGATGATGCAGCCACTGGTCAAGATGACGTTTCTGCCTACATATGCTGCAGGGAAGACAGAATTACCACTTAAGACACCAAGTGGGCACTGGCGTTTTTCATCGTGTTTATGTTCCTCCTGAGATTTGGGTATACAAACGCAATTGGCCTTAAGAAGAGACTGGGAGGAAACGCCTCAGTACGGTGACTGTACAGACAGCACAGGAGCAGGCAGTAAGTGCGGGTGGATTTGTTGAGGCCCTGCCCTGCTCATAGGCTGTGTGGCACCGAGCATGTGAGTGACATCTCTGGAAGGGGTCTACCATACTTCTCTTTAATGGGCGTTCAGTGCCACGAGCATGCCTGACACTCAGAAACACAGGAAAGGCCAATGACGATGACAGCAGCTGGCAACGAAAACTAAAAACCATGAAGCAAATCAACAGAAGGTATACTTTAGTTATTTAGAGAAAGCAGCGTTCTCCTCCATGCCAGTCCGATTCAAGAAAGACAAAGCAGTGTTCTAGAGAAGTGTCCGCTCTGAACTGTGGGCTCGGGCTGTGGGAGCTGGGGCCTCACACAATGCCCTGCCTGGCTCTAATTTGATAAGCAGATGACACTGGTCTCTGATTGGCTAGGGTAAGGCAGTTCTGAAATTAAAGAAAGCAATTCCTGGTGAGGCTGCCACTTGTCGCTTTCATTGCACAAGAATGCTCTTCGGCAACAGCGCTGCCAGCACATTTCACAGAAGCCTGTCTCAGGCCTTTCACTGGCCCTGTAACCCAGCCCCAGCTTAGCTGCACACAGCTGGCTTTTTAAGTTAATGTAGTTGGCCACATTATCAGATAACCACATAACTAGGTTAGGGTCCGCTGAGGCAAGGAATTAACCTGACAGTGACTCTGGCCCAATCCAAGAATGCCACCTTGCTCGTACTTAGGCCGTTTCCCAGGACACTACAAAGAGAAAGGACAATAAAACTCTGGACACAGCTTACCTTTTGACTCAATGACATTATTATCTCCCATTTTCATGGCTTGGGAATCTGTGAGGTTGAGTTAAGTAAATGCTTTTTCCCATGCATACAGAATGTCCTCCGTGCACCGGACACAGGTGACAAGGGCTGCACAGACTCAGCCCTGCCAGGATTCTTTGTTAGGGCCGACCTACGGCAAGGACTTAGTTCTTCAACTGAAATATCTCCACTCAAATAAATGGCCCAAATGCCTTTAAACACTTCATTACATTTACTTATTTATTGTGCATGTGTGTCTGCACATTCCTGCGCGCCAAGAGTGTGTGTATGCGTTGAGATCAGAGGACAAATAGAGGGATTCAGTTCTCCCCTTCTGTGTGGGACTGGGGGACTGAACTCAGGCAGTTGGGCTTCGTGGAAGTGCTTTCAGTGGCTGAGCCATTCTGCCGCTCTTGCTTCACACAGAAGCTAGAATTAGCTTCTCAGTGTCAATGCCCTCAACCATGGTTTCCTGTCAACAGGGCTACAGCCCTAGTAAGTAAAAGACTTTCAAAGTGCTAAAGTGTGCACGTACGCGTGCATGTGCGTTAGGGTCAGTATTTACCTTAGCCAGTGACTTGCCAGAACAGGAGGGACATCTTCGTTTTCTGTGGTGACAGGAATCAAACACATGCTAGCCATGTGCTCTGTATTATAGCCCCAATCCCAGAAAGAACAGCTCTGTCTCTCTATCTCCTCCCTCTCCCATTCCTCTTTCCTAGAAAAATTCTTTCTTCTTTTTTGTTTTTTGAGACAGGATTTCTCAGGGTAGCTCTGGCTATCCTGGACTTGAGTTGTAGACCAGGCTGTCCTCAAACTCAGAGAGATCTGCAAAGTTAACTTTTATTTGTCTGACCTAACTGTCAGCTTGGAGGCTTACTACCTTCATCTGCTAACTGAGGCCTAGTCCTGGAAGCTTCTAATCTCCGCACAATCTAATCTAAGGCCTAGAATGTTTCAGCTTCTAGGACTTACTGCTAAATAAGCTCACCCTTTCTAGTTCTTTTTGAACTCTGGCTGGCTGGTTCAAATCAGATGCTCTGGCCAAACTCCTCTCCAAGCTGACTGACACATATGGCTTCTCTCAGTTTCTCACTGAATTGCTCTGCTTGGCCTTAAACTAACTCTAGCAATCTGTTCTAATCTTCTGATTCCTTCTCATTCTCTGACTCATCCTATCTTCACAATCTGTCTCTGTAAAACTGTCCTGGTAAAACGATACAACTGAACTGCCATGAACTCAACTCTACTGCCCTGCCTCTCAACTCACTGACTCAACCAAACTGACTGAACAGAACTCAGAGATCTGCATGTCTCTGTCTCCTAAGTGCTGGGATTAAAGACATGCACCACAACACCTAGACCTAAACTTCTCTTTACCTGAACTTGCTTTATACCAGGCTGGCCTTGAACTTAGAGATGTACTTGCCTCTGTCTCATTTGTATCCCAGACAGACCACATAGAGCTAGAAAGTCTTTGGATGTGATCTCTTGCCAGAGCAACTATGTTCTAAACTAAAATTCCTTTATAGAGATTCACCTGCCTCTGCTTTCAAAGGGCTGGGACTAAAGACACATACCACCATGACCAGCCTGAAGATTTCTTTTAAAAAAATCTAGAGATACAGACAGTTGTGAGCAATCATGTGGTTGCTGGAAACTGAACCTGGGTCCTTTGAAAGAGCAGCCAGTGTTCTTAACCTCTCTCTCTCCAGTCCTCAGAAAAAACTTTTTCCTTCCTTCCTTCTTTTTTTTTTTTCTTTCAAGACAGGGTTTCTCCATGTAGCCTTGGCTGTCTTGGACTCACTTTGTAGACCAGGCTGGATCTTTGAACTCAAAGATCTGCTTGGCTTGCTTGACTCTGCCTCCCTGAGTGCTGGGATTACAGGTGTGTGCCACCATGCCCAGCTCAGAAAAGATTTCTTAATATACTGCAATGGATCTGTTTAAAGAGCTCGCTGGCCTAGTCTATATATATTTTAAATATATGGGATTGATAAGGTATATCAATTTCTACACAGGGAGAGATCTGGGCACCAAAATCTGTGGACGATTTGAGGCACATTACTGCAAAGGATACGACAGCCAACTTCAAACACATTATTGGTGCCAATAATCATAGGTTTGGGTTCTGGATCTTCAGTGTCTGGGATGATATTATCCGGATGACTATAAAGAGAAGAGACAAATCACCAAAAGCCAGTGACACAGTAAGCAGAATCTGAATCCTCTGTCTTAATTTTACCTGCACCAAGTTTAACCTGCACAGCTACACCTAGTTTCTGAGCCAGGCGAAATACTTCTCCCCTGTGCCAGGGAAGGCTAGGTGCTAAGCTGAACAGAACCACTGAAATGTAAGAAGCCCCAGGTTTAAAAACAGCCCCAGAAGAGGGTGCCACAATAAATAAATTAATTAATAAATTAAAAAGAAAAAAGAAGAGGAAGAGGGTGTCAACCTTCAATCCCGGCACGAGGAAGGCAGAACTCTGTGAGTTCAGAACGGCCTGGTCCATAGAGTAAGTTCCAGGACAGCCAGGACTACAGAGACAGCCTAGCTCAAAAAAAAAAAAAAAAGGGGGGGGGGGTGTTGTCACATCCCTTGGAGCTGCAGTCACTGTGGGTGTGAGCGCTCCATGTGAGTGAAGACAACTCAAGTATTTTGAAAGAACAGCAAGTGGTCTTAACTAGTGAGCCATTTCTCTAGCCTTCCTTTATTTCTTAAATTTTAAGTTTAAGGACCTTCTTTAGGACATTGTAAAACAAAGAAGACTCAAAATCATGCCTACTTTGAAATTTTTCCATTCATAATAGCCATTTAAAACTGTGGAATGTGAACAGATATCCACGTGAAACCATTATTTTGCGACTGGGGTAGTTTGTGAATGATGTGGACAGCACAGCTTTATCTGGCAGCTGACCTCTGCAGAACAGGCTGCTGTGAATGACCTCATAACCCAGGTGCCCAGTAAAGAGAATATTAACACTGAAAAAGGAAAAAAGAAATGGCTTGACACCGTAAGAAGCTCCCACACATCCTGTGTGAGTGTCAGACAAGTCAGCCTTTTTATCACAGCTGAATATTTTCCCACACAAATTCCTTACATTGTTGCTACAAATTAGGTGAAAGCTTAAATTTCTTGCCCAAATTTTATCTAGAAAAGCTTATACATACTCTGTGACATATTGTGGGCATTATAGCCCGGTTTGCAAAGACACACATTAGCTAACATTTTATCACATTTTTATCTTTAAAGTTTATGAATTGTTCCAAGGACCCCACACTTTGCGACTAGAATGCTGGGTACTACCCACGTGGAACATGGGAAAATAGAGTTAAATTCACATGTGGACATCAAGAGAGATCAAACCAAAAACTGTCTTCAGTGTGGTAGGCTCAACACGAGGCTACTGGATGGGGTCAGAAAACCATTACAGGTCCAGGAGACCACCAGACCCGGGGCTGGGGGCTCTGGTTTTCCCAGTGTTTTTTGGTCTGGTTTCTGGGTCCCTTGTATGTTTAAGCTGAAAGAACCTTAAACACTCTTCTCCAGCTCTGAAAGAGTGCACTTTCTTGAGCTACGCTGTAAAGGGCTCCTGTACAGGTGACACTGTTGGAAACTCTTCCCTGTGGCGGTCAGTTCGGGGCACCTGTAAGAGCCTTACTCACGCATTTATGATGAGGGCCTGCTCTTCTATAAGGTTACCTTCACCAATAATTATCGGCCCAGCCTCCGCAATAATCCGTGCTTTAGGGTGGATCACTGTCCTAGGGCCTGTGAACAGAGCCAGTGAGAAGAAATTTCAGTGTAGGTTACATGTCCAGCAGGAGGATGGGAGGTGATGGAGATGGGTGAGGCTTCTGGGAGGAACACTTTCCAAGTCTGTGCCAGGCACCATGTTCAGTACCGTAAAGTACTATCTCTGGCTGCAAAACAGCAGTCAGCGCCAAATCTAGAGCCAAGGTAAGGGAGGGAGCACACGCAGCAGAGCCAGACAGCTCAGCCTTTTCCAGCCTCCTGTGACCCCAACAGGACAGGCAGGTGACGAGAGCAGCAGTCCTGCAGGACTCCGGGAAGAGCCAGACACGGTGACGCTGGAGACAGTGTGTGGCACATGGACAGTGAAAAAACTAACTCCTGTCCTTTCTTTCAGAACGCAGTGCTTCCATCTTTCACCACATGACTAGGAGGACGCACGGGTGGACAGAAGTCAGGAAACACACGGTCCACCTTCAGGCACTCCTTGTCACCTGAGTTCAGGCATGCACACTGGAAGCAGGCAGGGCTGGATATGACAGTTCCAGTACTGAAGAGGAGGGAGGCAAGAGGAGCCAAGTGTGAATGCTGGGCCAGCAGACTGAGGCTGGGGGACCCGAGACACGGCAGGCTCACTCTAAGAGCACCCAGAGGACACCTTGTGAGAGCTGGGTGGAAGACCCTGATCCCGCTCTGCAGCGAGGGGCACATGCACACACTTATCTGCCATTGATAGGGAAAGCGTGTCTTCCTTCGGCCTCACACCCACTGACTCTTAGCTCAGCAGCGAAGCTACTTTTCCTTCTGTTTTTGTTTTGTTTCTTATCCTTGGCTGGCAGACTCTGCCCAGCCTCCTGAATGCTGGATTACTCAACGCTATTTCTACTTATACACAGTGACAACAAGTAACTGAAACAGGAAGGTGGACAGGAGGATCAAGGGGCAAAGGTGACACTTCCCAGGATTCTGTGGTATAAACAGCTAATTTTACAAAAAGTTACTATCGGCAAGACACAACACTATGTTGCGGGGCAACAAAAAAAATTAGCAGATATTGGGCCAGGAGAGTGGCTCAGTTGGTGAGCACGTGTGTAGGTAGTATGTACAAAGCCCTGGGTGGGATCCCCAACACCGAAATCTCTTACACACATGCACATAGCCCAAGCACAAGAACACAGGCTATTTTTGCCCCTTTGGGTTTATCTTGAAAACTAGGATTACTTACTTCACCAACTCCCAAATCTAGAGAATAGATACAAAGGCCTTCCTGATGACCAGAGCTCAAAGGGGACCTCAGTGCAGATCTCTCTCTCTCTCTCTCTCACACACACACACACACACACATACACACACACACACACACAGAGTTACGGGGATTGATAAAGAGGTCAGGGGCCCAAAACAGGACACAGAGTCCGAAGGCAGACAGTCTAGAATGAAATAGCACAAGTAGCCTTGATAATCCCCTGACACCATTGGCTACTAATTAAATTCCCAAATGAAGTCTGCTATTCAGGATAGAAGATGGAGTTGCTGCGATCCCTGGGAAAAAGTCTCAAGGTGACCACGAATGCTTTCTTTTTCTTATGTGTATGTGTGTATCTCTTCAGGTACATATGCACACACACACTTATAAAAATAGATAAACTTACTTATTAAATAGACGATCATTACCAAAAACTAAAATAAAGCAAGCACAAAGTGAAGGGGCCGTCTGAGTCCCACTCCTTCCTGCTTGACTGTCTAAAGTGCAGGGGAAGCTCGCGCAGACTGAACACTTGAGACCTGTAGATACCAGTACACATAAAACCACTAGGAAGCTCAAAATAAGGAAAACTTGGAGAAAAGCACTCTCACAGGGCCTAATACACTACCTTTTCCTCAGAGCAGTCACTTAGGCATGACAGTCTCCAGGTGCTCAACAATGTTGTCACACATGCTAGATTCTTCTGAAATAACAAGCTCTACATCTCCCAGTGGAATGAGCCAATGGAAAGCTATAGCTCACACAATATGGACTTCTATTTTGATTCAAAATGGTCCAAATAAAGGGCCATGGTCTATTTTAGGTTCTCCCAGCCTGTACCCACCCTTGTCTAGAAAGTCTAGGCTCTGGGATCTATCACCTACAGGCTATGTGTGTGCTTCTGCTCTCTCAAGGGCCCATTTTCCCAGCTATAAAACGACAGGCTCCTTAACACCCTACCCCACTGGAGGGAAATGTGGGTTACAAGAAACAGTGTCTGAAAGGGTTATCACAGGATCTGGCCTAGAGCTCTTAAGGTAAGATTCAGGGGCTGATAAGACAGCCTAGAAAGTGAAGCCTAGTGACCTGAATTTTATCCCACAAACCCCATGCTGGAATCCACTCATTAGGGCTGTCCTCTGTCCACACACTTGTATGCACTCAATAAACACAGTAAAACATTAAAAACGAGGAGCTCAGTGTTTGCCACACAGAGCTAAGAACTTCTGAAAACAGCAAAATGGCTAATTTAGGCCTCAGGACAGACCAGGGCCTGCTTTTCTCCTTTCCTCAAGTATCATGGTAACAGCTTTTAACCACAGGAGAGACTTCTGGTTAGTAGAGGATTGAGTAGGACATGAGCTTGAGGATCCTGACAGGTTCAGATCTCTGGTTAGTGACGGGGAAGCAGCCAGGGGCACTAGGCCTCCTGCTGACCCTCAAGCCAGAATGCAGCTGTGATGAGCAGAACTTGGGAGAAGACATCTGAGGATTTTTTTTTTTTTTTCTCCCAAGACAAGGTTTCTCTGCGTAGCTCTGGCTGTCCTGGACTCACTCTGTAGCCCAGGCTGGCCTCAAACTCACAGAGCTCCCCCTGCCTCTGCCTCCCTGAGCGCTGGGATATAGAAGTGCTCCACTGTGTCCAGGTCTGAGGAGGTGTTATGAAGACTAGGGCCCACTGGCACCGGGGTCTGTCTTTTTAAACATTCTTCTAATGTGTGCCTCTGAAAATAAATGACACTGCTATTTCTTCCTTTCAAAAATAGATGACACAGGGCTGAGACAGCTCATTCGGGATCCCTGGAGCTACTTGCTGAGTGCTACAGGGACAGGAAAGGTGGATGCCTGAGAGGAATACCCGAGCTTGTCCCTGTCCCTGACAGGCACAAACACACACACACATACCATAAAATGCAGCTTGGCATGGCGGTGCCACCTGCAATCCTAACACTTAAGTGGGAGCAGGAAGATCTGAAGTTCAAGGCCATCCTGGACTTCACCAACAAGCTGGAGGCCAGCCTGGGATACTCTATAGACTTTCTCAAAAAACCAAAAACAAAACAAGCAAAATAAATGAAGTTATTATGTATGTAACAAAACCAAGTAAGAACAGTTTTTGTTTTGTTTTGTTTTGAGACAGTTTCACTGTGTAAGTCAACCAGACTGACCTCGAACTCAAGAGATCCGTCTGTCTCTGACTCTCCAGAGCACTGACATTAAAGGCGTGCGTCACCTCTCCTGGCGTCTAAGCAGTTTAAGCTGGTGTTTTATTGTTGTCATTATTATTTGTTAATCATTAGTTACTATAGGTAACTGAAAAACACCTGGTTATAAATCTCTGGGACTTTCCCATGGAGTTAACTCAGCAGCTTAGGTGAGGTCTTTGATTGTGACACTACTGCCACCTGCTGGCATCCCGGCTCAACTGCAGCGGGGGCCGAAATAACCTGTGGGAAACCAATCTGCTTTGAATTGAGAGATGAAAGCAAATATTGGAGGCAGCAGTAAGTGGAACACTCCCTCGAGGCTAGCATACAGCACATGTGATAGCTAAGAGTGTGGTTTGGAGAACAGAAAAGAGGCACAGCTGTCTGCAGTTTCACACTGCAGGCCTGGGAGCAGAGGGCTGGCAGTCCAGGCAGCCTTAGTGACAGCATGCTGGCAGGCAGACAGACAGGCAGTCTCCAGGTTTTCCGGTGTGCCACAAACACTTTTACCTTGACTTGGTCTGGTTTAGAGCCACGTTAAAGACTCTTGAAGTTAAGACGCTTAAAAAAAGAAAGTCACCATGGAGAGTCCCTTTTCCCATTTCCCTCCATTTCGGACCTTCTTGGCGCTGCCCCTGGCACAGCAGTTTGTGTATTTTCTTACTGACTGTGCTGAAAGCCTCTCTGGCTTATCTCCTTGTTTGGACAAATGTGTCTGGAGTCGGAGCTGCACTAACTGGCGGATGAATTATTTTTCTAAACGGCTGGCTGGGCTTCCAGAGCCCGGCCAGGAAGACATTCCTGCATTCTGTCTCCTTTTCCCTCATTTGGTAAAGGGCACCCTTCACCTTTGCCAGACTGCAATCTCTGGGTACATTTTCATATATCAATAAGTAAATTTTAAGTAAATCCAAGCTCTTTCGTTTGGAAATTCAACAACTCCCTGAGCGCTGCTTTGCATTCTGAGAAAGAGTCCAGCAGGGAGGATTTGGCAAGCTTTGCTGCAGAGCATGCTTAAGGGAGACAGGGTCCCACTGTGCCCAGTCTGCTCCTCTCATGCCCACAGCAGGGGGCCGCCCTCACAAGCACATGGACTAGGACTATGCTGGCCCTCCTCCCAGGCTAGTCAGCTATCAAAAGGAGGAGTGACAGTAATGAATTTGTAGCAGTCTAATGAAAAACAAGTTTGATGCTGTGAAAATTAGCGGGGCTCTTAGTTCTGAACACATTCCAAGGCAGGAAGGGGAAGGAAGGGCTTCCCCAGAGCTGTAAGCCAGAGCCCTCATGACAAGGGCTGGACTTCTACAATCCAGCCCCCACCTGCGCAACCCCCTCTCTGTCATACTCCCAACCACATACACCCATTTTGAGAGACTGTGCTGTAGGCAGCTCTGACATACACACACCTGGCTTCACAGTTGTAATGAATTTCACCGATACAGCAAATATCTAGAAATCACAGATCTGATTTAAGGTTCCCATAACCTGAAACAGAGCAAAAGAGAAATCTGCCTTCTTCAAACTACTAAGTGTTAAAAGACGGGCAGTCCACGCACGCAGCACCCCACACGAGATCCGTTCACGGATCTCAAACTCTCCAGTAAGCAGTGTATAAGGTGACAACTGCCAACTGCAGAGAACAAAGTTTTCCATCAGTTACTGCAGGAGCCTGAGCAAAATCAACAGGACACTTGAAAAGGAAAACCAAACCTGGTCGGAAAGCTGGAACCAGGTAGCTCTGCTTCGGTTAAATTGTATAATTGTGCCTTGCAGGAGGGCTTGAATCTGAGGTGTTATTTCAGAAAAATGACTAGCTGGCTGGAGATATTTTAAGCTATATGCAACAATGACAGAATTAATTATCTAAGCCCAAACTCTGGAAAAACCCCTTACTTCTATACACAATTAAAGAAACACGAGGCTTGAGCACAGGGTTGGGGAGAGATAAATACTCAAAGATGAGATAAAAACTATGGGAGACACAATGCTGTATCATCACTCCCTGCATCTTTTCCTTGCTTTAGAAATGGAATTGTTTCTAAAATAAATGCAAGCATGTTCCGTGCATGCTTAGAATGTCTGATATCAAGCACCACTATGTATGTAGATAATACATACACACATGTAATATATATAAAACAATTCACTTTGTTGATAAACAGCAAATCGTTTCTAGCTTTTTTCCTTAAGAATTTTTTTAAATCACTTCTGAAGAAATAGGTGTGAACATGATCAAAATACGTTCTAGGAAATTCTCAAAGGATTAATAAAACTATTACTTTTTTAACCACTTCTTGAGGCTAGTTGTGCTAACACACACCTATAATCTAGCACTTAGGAGCTAGGAGTTACATAGTGAGACTGTATCAAAAATTCTTATGCGGTAACCTACCACAAAAAAATCTGTAATGACATATCATTTACATGCTTAATATTCTAACTGTATACTATCAGCTGGTGGTCAAATGCCAGCCTGAGAGTGTATCTGGGGGCTGGAGATGGCTCAGTGATTAAGAGCACCGGCTGTTCTTCCGAGACTCTGGTTCAATTCCCAGCACCCACATGGCAGCTCAAAGCTGTCTAAAACTCCAGTTACAGGGGAGCTGATACCCTCCTCTCGCCTCAGCCAGGACTGTGCACTTACGGAATGCATACCATATACACATGCAGGCAAAACACACATACGTATAAAATGATGAAATAAATCTTTGCTTTCATAATTCCAACATTTAGGAAAAAGACAAGAAAGCCAGAGGAACATGAAGGCTGGGTGCTAGGTCTAGACACTAGAGCCCAAAGCTACACAGGAGCCGCTGTGGGCTGTGAGTGTGAAAAGTCCATGCACACTCACTGGAAGCACAGTTTTGGAAGGTTGCAGAATCTTTTAGAAGTGAACCCTTGATGGTTCTAGCCCAGCTCCACTTCCTGCCCGTTCTGCCTCCTGAGTGAGGATAAACAATGTGGCAGCTCTCTCACCCTCGGGCCTTGTCAGCTGTAATGGACTGAATCCTGTCTTAAACTATGGGCCCATCATAGCCATCCTTTCCTTTCTATTTTGGAAGTTTCTGTAAGTTCAAGGCGATGCCAAGTATGTATCTGTGTATTCATGCTACGGATATGTCTATCCTACCTATATATGTATTACACAGCACATATCATAAGCTGATTGTTTCAAATGAGAAGGAGGAAATGCAAGGGAAGTTCTCCATAGTGAGCTATGTACATTACTTTAGTCTGACTTGTCTTCTCATTACAGAACACCTTGTGAGCTACTGAGTTCTTCCCGAGTCATGACGAGAGCCATAGACACTGAAACAGGTAGTGAGTAAACATGGCTGAAGAGTCTCAGTGGGTCACAGCTCACACTTTCTCCTCACAGGAAGTTTGCACTGAAGACAAAGTTAAGAGCACTGAAAACAATAATTTTTCAAATTCTGTCAGCTTAAAATCTGTCAACAGGTCATGTTTTTGTTTTGTTTTGTTTTCAGAGCTGAGGACTGAACCCAGAGCAAGCACTCTAACACTGAGAAACCGCTGGCCTGTGGGAACAGAAGTGCTACTGTGGCCATGCGGGTGACAGGCAGCTGTAGCGAAGGAGGATCGCCCATTAGTTAAATCTGCAGGGGCAGAGTCCAGAAAACAGATTTTACAAAAGGAACTGGTAGTTCCTGTGGCACTGGGGACTCAGCCACACCTGTCAGTTACCTGCCATGTGTTGGCTTGTTTGTTTGGTCTTGGAGATGAGACTTCTGGCAAGGCGCTATATCGTGAGAGCTAATGGTACTGACAGCAAACCTTTTTGAAATGTCACCTCACATTCCTCTCTGCATGTGATGGAAATACTGCCGTCCAGTGTCACTCTCCTCTCCTTGTAGCAGAACCCTGACTTCATTTGGGGGCCAGTGTAGCCGCTGCCGCATCAGTGTCCTAGTCATGACACAGGTGGGAGAAAAGTTGTGAGGAGCTTTCAGGACAGATCTTTAAAATGAGCTGACTCGACGGGCCAAGAAGGGAGGTGGTGGCTGATGCCTTTATTCCCAGCACTCGGGAGATAGAGCCAGGCTTTATATCTTTGTGTTCGAGGCCAACATGGTGTACAAGGACAGCCCGGACCACAAAGAACAGCCGGGATCAGACTGTAAAGTGATTAAATAAAAAAGAACAGAAAAACAAACAAGATAAAATTGCAAGCCTCAGTGAAACACAGAAGACAGGACATAAAGGTGAAGCACGAAAATAGATTCACACACATCTCAAGAAACATTAGTTTTCTTACCTATGGTTACGTCTCCTCTGATCTCACTCTCTACACATACAACTGCTCCAGGAGCAATCTTCACGCTGTAAGAAGACAAAGGTAACACTGACCCTGAGTGAGATTTAAAATATGGAGGGCAGCTGAGACAGCGGCACTGCGTAAGCCTGATGAGCTGAGTTAGCGTCTCATAAAATTAAACAGTTAAATATATTGTTGCAGAAGGAATCTGGAGCCAGCTCAGTGGGGTAGGGAGCTGATTAAGGCACTTGCTGCCGAGTCTGACGACCCGAATCCGACGACCCGAATCCCATCCCTAGGTCCCACACGGTGGAAAGGAAGAACGACTCCCTAAGTTGTCCTCTGACCGCCGCCGCATGTGCACTGTCAAGTGTGTATATTCCCATCATACTCACACAGCAGAGGACAAATACATGTGTACTAGTTACTGTTCTGTTGTGGAAATAAAACACCTTGACCAGAGCAATTTATGGAAGGAAAAATTTATTGTGGCTTAAGATTCCAGAGGGATGAGAGTCTACCACAGTGGAGGCAGGCAGCAGCTGGTAGCAAAGCAGCAAAACAGGAAACTGAGACACATCTTGAAACACACACACACACCCCCCTCCTGCATGCAAGCAAACGGAAATGTCGAGAGCCTTTGAACTCTCAAAGCCCTCCAGGGACACGCTTCCTACAAGGTCTCCTCCTAAACCTTTCTAAACCACTATCAACTGTGGTCTAAGTATTCAAACACATGAGCCTATAGGAGACAGTGTTATTTAAACCACCAAAAAAAAAAAAAAAAAAAAAAAAAATTAAAAATGTTTTTAATTAAGCTGTGTTGACTCTGTAGTTAAGAAAAAAGTAATTCGTGGAGGGGCTGGAGAGCTGGCTGAGAGCTTAAGAACAATGCCTGTTCTTTCAAAGGTCCTGAGTTCAATTCCCAGCAACCACATGGTTGTTTACAATCATCTATAGTGAGATCTAGTGTTCTCTTCTGGTGAGCAGGCAGAATGCTGTATAAATAATAAACAAATAAATCTTTAAAAAAATTCATGGCCTCTGAAAGACTCTACTGATTGAGGTATGTATAGAAGCAGAGGCTGAGACTCATAGCCAAATTTTGAGCAGAGGGCATGGAATTTTATGAAAGAAGAGAGAGATAGAAAGAACTGGAGGGGACAGGCGTTCTAAAAGGAGACCAACAGAGCCAAAAAACAAAACAAAACAAAACAAAAACTGAGTCCTGGGGGCCCTGCAGAGACTGACCAACGACCATGCATGGAGCGGACCTAAAACCCTGGCTCAGATGTAGCCCATAGACTCAGTTTCCAAGTGGGGTCCCTAGAAAGGGGAGCAGGGCTTTCTCTGGCATGAACTCAATGACAGGCTCTCTGATCACTTCCCCCTGAGGGATGCAGCCTTACCAGGCCACAGAGGAAGACAACACAACCAGTCCTGATGAGACCTGGTAGGCTAGGATCAAAGAGAACAGGTGGAAGACCTCCCTTTTCAGTGGACTAGGGGAGGGGTATAGGGGGAGAAGAGGGAAGGTGGGATTGGGAGGAGACAAAGGAGGGGGCCATAGCCGGGATACAAATTGAATAAATTGTAATAAATAATAATAATTTTTTTAAAAAGATTTAAAAAAAAGCAGACAATCAAACATATATTGCTTTAAAAATAAAATAAAATAAAACAAAATTCATGGAAAAAATGGAAAGTCAATGGTAAGAGGGCTTAAGGTATTATGGGCTTCTTAAGTGGCACATGGTCCATTAAGCCAAAATCAGATATACTTTAAATGCTTAAAAATAAAACAAAACAAAACAAAAAAACCAACTTTGAATTTGTTGGGTTTTTTTTTTTTTTTTTTTTGGTTGTTGTTGTTTTGTTTTTTTCCGAGACAGGGTTTCTCTTTGTAGCCTTGGCTGTCCTGCTGTCCTAGACTCAATTTGTAGAACAGGCTGGATTTGAACTCACAGAGATCCACCTTTCTCTGCCTCCCCAAATGCTGGGGTTAAAGGTGTGCCCCATCATGCCTGGCTTAGATCTTTCTTTGAATTTAGTACCAGCATTGTCTCTAAAAGGCAAGAAGGTAAAAACCACCTAGATGTCCATCAGCAGGAGACTGGTTAAAAAGTTATGTGTGGACTAATACACAGTTGTCAAAAAAAGCAATTCTTTATACAAAGATGTTGACCTGGTAATATACATGTGTGATCCCAGAAGAGGGGAGAGGCAGGAGGATTGTGAATTCAAAGCCATCCTGATCTACACAGTGGAAGAAATGAAGGGAGAAAGGAAGTGAGGGAGGGAGGCAGGCAGGGAGGAAAGAAAAAACACTGTAAGAACGTTTGGACACAGATCTATGATGTTCTTTTACTGTCTCTGGGATGGCAGACAGAAACTGATAAAGGCTGCCTGCATGGAGACATATTGTTAATAACCTTGACAGCCAAAACCTGGAAAGGGAGGGAAGATACAGCCATCACCTTCACTGGAATAGTTGTCAAAAGCAACTGAAAATATTCTTATGTATCTAAGTGGCTTTCTTAAATGGCTCAGGTCTACCTGACTGTCGATGGCACTGCCCACAGTGGGCCGGGTCCTCTCTTATCAATCATGAATCAATACGCTCTCAAAGACCTGGACAATCTTAAATTGGGCAACAATCCAACTGAGGCAAACTGACAACTAAACACTAATTGGGCCCAGATGCTGCGGGAGCCACAGGTGCAAACATGGCCAAGTCCAAAAACCACACCACACACAACCAGTCCTGCAAATGGCATCAAGAAAGCTCGGTCACAAAGATACAATTTTCTTAAGGGAGTCGACCTCAAGTTCCTGAGGAACATGCGCTTTGCCAAGCACAACAAGAAAGGCCTGAAGACGATGCAGGCAAACAACACAAAGGCATGAGTGCACACGCAGAGGCCATCAAGGCCCCTGTGAAGCCACGGCCGTTAAGTGCATGATGCCCCAGCCGCAAACTCATCCGTCTGGCTTTCATCATTTACCCCAAGCTTGGGAAGCAGATTAGAAGCTACATGGCCAAGGTCTGTAATCTCTGCCAACCAAAGCCCAGGTTCAAACCAAGGCAGAGGCCGCAGCTCCAGCTAAGGCAGGCTTTAGCCCCAGCACAGGCTCCCAAAGGTGCCCAGGCCCCTGTGAAGGCCCCATAGGAAAGACTTCTGGCAATGTGAAGACAGATGGACTGGTGTGACACACCCACCTAATACTCTTTACAGATGAACAGTTTCCTATGCTGTTTTTACAAATAAACCCAAGGCAAGGTCTGTTAAAAACAAACAAACAAACAAACAAACAGGGGGCTGGAGAGATGGCTCAGTGATTAAGAGTTCTGTCTGCCCTTCCAAAGGACCCAGGTTCAAGTCCCAGCACCCACATGGCAGCTCTCAACTGTCTGTAATGCCCATTCTAAGGGATCTGACACCTTCACACTAATGCACATAAAATAAAGTTAAATAAATAAAAATATTAAAAAGCAAACAAAACAAACAACTAAATGGGACACTAACCCTAGAATTTCTGTAATGATCAAATGAAAATGCATACCAGAAATTTCTCGAAGCAAAGTTCATTCCTGGGGCATCACTGTTCTGCCATCACTATTTTCAGTTGTTAGCTTAAAGTAGCCCACAAATACCCTGCCTCTCTAGTTCTTTGTCCTGTGATAACTGAATGGCTCTCTTTGGTTACCCCACCATTATCTATTTATTATTTGGTCTGAGTTTTTGTTGTTGTTTGTTTTGAGACAGAGTCTCTCTATGCAGCCCTAACTGCACAGGAACTCTCTATGTAAAGCAGGCTGGCTTCAGATTAGAACTTAGATTTGTAAATCCACCTGCCTCTACCTCCCGAGTGCTGGGATTAAAGGTGTGTGCTAGCATACCTAGTCCACCACTTTTAAGTGTCACATATTAGATGCTTTTCATTTAAAGTGGTCTTTGTGTTAAAATATAGCATTCTCTTAACTCTGGTCAAATAAGCTAGTCTCTATAATTCTGCCTTAACCCTGACCAGGGTTTTACTATGTTGGCCTGGAGCTGGCTATGTAGACCAGGCTGCCTCTCAAGAGCTGAGATTAAAGTCATTCGACACCATGCCTAGCTTCCATAAATGCTCTCATTTTACCTTTAATTTCCTCTCACAACTTGCCTCCTTTAAGTTTTTCACAAAGTAAGCATTATGAGTAGCTAAGGGTAGAAGAGATCCCAAAGCGTGCCGTATTTAACGCCCTGAAGAGAAACCCAGGTACTGGCTATGTCAAGCAACACACTTCTCAGGGAGGCAAAACGTAATTATTAATATAGTTACTACTAGGCCAGCTGGTTTTACTAGTAAACATGCTTACCAACATCCCCCCTGGACCCACTGCACCCTGTAACGGTGGTGGGGGGCAATGGGAAGCAGGCAGCTGGGAGTTGGGAGATCCAGACCTAGCAAATGACGGGCCAGCCTCCTCCTTTGAAGGCTGTGTGTATGTATGCTGTCGTGCAAGGGATACTTATGGCAGATCTGTTTCTCTTTAGCTTATGAAAAAGGTGACAGGTCGCCTGTGCAAACAGAGGAAAAACCTAAATTTTAATTTTTGGGATTGGCTACAACATGGGGTTTGTTAAGTCAGCAGAAGAGCCGGAGAGATGGCTCAGAAGTTAAGAGCGACCGCTGCTCTTCCGGAGTTTTGGTTCTCAGAATCCATGTCAGGTAGCTCACAATCTCCTGTAACTCCAGCTCCAGGGGGGATCCCATGCTCTACACCTACACGCACATACCTCCACACAGACACATGCATACACATATCGCAAAAAAACAAAAAAAAAAAAATTCTAGGTTCAGTGGCTCAAGACATTAATTCCAGCACAAAGGAGGCAGAAGCAAATGACTCCCTTTGAGTTCGAAGTCTGCTACAGAGGGTGCTCCACACCGCTGCTGTTGCAAACGGCCCCGCATGCTTCTCTGTTATCCACGCAGTCTCTTCCCACCAGCGGTCCCCATCCCTGAAGACCGTGGCAGAAGCGGCCATAGCCCCTGGCCCCGGGCTCTCAGGCGCTGGGCTGCAGGGTGACAGCTCCAGTGACTTCTTCCAGGCCTCCCTCGTCCTGAGGAGGCTAGGCCGACGGTGCAGCCACCGCTGGCCGGCGTCTTGCCCGCGCAGTGCCCACAGCCGCCCCGAGTCCCCCGCGGCCCCAACAGGGAGTCTGCGCAGGCGTGCTGGGGTGTGTTGGGGGGGGGGGGACTGTCACGGAACAAACCCTCCCGCCCTCACCCCCGGGGTGGGATTCTGGAACCATCCACCTAAACACGGTCTCAGTCTCCCCACCCTGCGACCAGAGACAGGTTCTGCCCCTGCGGAGAGTGGACAGCTGGCGTTAGCCGAGCAGCACACGCACCTCTTTTGAGTCTTCTCCGCCATTGTCAGGCCCGGGTCTCGGAAAGAGCCGAGATCGACCCCGCTGCCTGGCTGGAGCGATGATCTCTACGTGCGATTGCAGAGCCTGGCACGGCCGCGAGGGGCGGGGCCGGAGAGACCTGGCAGGCTCGCGCTTGCGCACCGCAGCTGATTGCCCCCCCACCTCTGGTCGGTTTGATTGTTTCCGTCCTACAGATGAAATTCACTTACAGATCCTGCGGGACTGCCTCACGGGAAATCGTTTTTCCAAGGCTAACCTAACCCCAGCTGCCCTGTCCCTTATCGTTAGTTCGCTCTGCCTTTAACATCAAGAATCACCTTCCCTAGCCTCTCCCCCCGAGGCTTTTCTTGTCAAAATCTCTTTTGAACCTCAAAATCGGTTTTTAAACTTCTCATTCCGTGTATGTGTGTGTGTGTGTGTGTGTGTGTGTGTGTGTGTGTATGTATTATGTACTTTTTTTTTTTTTTTTTCTGAGGCATGGTCATCTCATGCTTTTTCTCACGTTTTGAGGAAACCAAGCTGTCTTTTCATCTCCAACAACTGCTATTCCCCCAACTCCTGGCATTCTTCTATTCCTTTAAGTCCCATACGGTATAGTCAGGATTCATTCTGAGAAACAGAAGAAGCAGAAGATATGATTCACGAGGGTTTTGCAAAGAACTGGTTTGTTTGGGATCTGCTGTGCAAGATTAAAACCTGTAGATAATGCTGTTTTTTGTTTGTTTGTTTGTTTTTGTTTTTGTTTTTTTAATTGAGTCCAAGCTGCTGCCCAGAGGAATTTCTTTTCTTTTTGGGGTGGTGGTGGTTCAGGGCTGCCTGAAAACTTTAAACTGACTGCATCAGGCCCACTCAGGTTATCTGGTAGAATCTGTTTTCTTAAAGATAACTAGGCAATAGGAGGGTGGGGGGAGATGTTGGCTCTGTTGGTACAGTGCTTGCTCAGCATGCGTGAAGCCCTGAATTCATTCTGTAGAGTCACGTAACACTGGCAGAGCATATCCATAAACCAAACCCAGGTAGGATCACAAGTTCAAGGTCATGAGTTACGTAGTTGCTCCTGCCATTTTGTTGACTTTTATTTGTTTGTTTGCTTGTTTCAATTTTTGGTTTTTCCAGGCAGGATTTTTCTGTGTAGCCCTGGCTGTCCTGGACTCGATTTGTAAACCAGGCTGGCCTCTAACTCCCAGAGATCCTCCTGCCTCTGCCTCTCAAGCACTGGGACTACAGGCTCATGCCAGCACTCCAGATTTTGTTGATTTGTACAGTGGTGTTTATTTCCTCTGTCTTGCTTAACCGTTTTTCTAGTGTGGCCTGTTCTTTTCTGTGGTTGCTCTTCAGTCTGAAAGATTCCTTCAGGTATCTTCTGTGGAGCTGGCTTAGTGGTCATAAGTTCCTTTAGTCTGTTTTTGCCATGAAAAGTGTTTCTTTTTCCTTTAGTTATGATAGGTAGCTTTAGTGGGGGCAGTATTCTGGGCTGGCAATTGTTAGCTTTCAGAACTTGAAATACATCATTGCAAGCTCTTCTAGCTTTTTAAGGCTTCACTGCTCTTCTGATGGATCTGCCTCTTTCAATGTACTTGGTTTTTTTTGTTTGTTTGTTTGTTTTTGTTTTTTGTTGTTGTTGTATGTGAGTGTTTTAATTACAATATGTCAGGGAGGTTCTTTTCTGGTCTGCCTGTCTAGTGCTTCCTGTATGTGGAACTTCTCTGTCTCCCTAAAACTATGGGACATTTCCTGTTGTAATTCTTTTGAAAATGTTTTCTATGCCTTTAGGATTAGATTCCTCACCTTGTGTGCCTGCAACCTGTGCACTATTGAGTAGCTCTTAGAGTTCTCATTCATACTTTTTTCTTTTTAATTTTACTTTTGCCCTTGTTGGATTGGTCTATTTCCTGCGGTTGACTTCAAGATCAAATATTCTGTCCTGTTCTGGTTGAGTCTATTGCTAAGGTTTTTCCATGGGGCTATTTATTGGATTTTGGTGTTGTTGTTTTGAGACAGGGTCTCACTATGAAGCCCTGGAACTGACAGGGTGGACCAGTCTGGCCTTGAGCTCACAGAAATCTTCCTGCTTTTGCTTCCCCAGTGTTGAGATTAAAGACCTGGCCTTTTACAGTTTGTTTGTTTTTGCTTTGAATAAGTTACTTTTTTGTTACTGAGATAAAACATCACAGCCAAACACAACTTAAGGAAGAAAAAGTTCATTTTGGCTTATGGTTCCATAAGACTTTATGATGGCAGAACCTATGTATGGTAACGGTTGGAGGACCTGGGGGCAGGAATAGGAAGTTGAGATTTCACATCTTGAACCACAAGCACAGAACAGAAAAAGCAAACTGAATGTGTCAAAGCCCACCTTCCATGACATCTTACTTCATTCAGGTCCCACATCCTGAGCCTTTTTAATTAGCACTGCCAAGGGTTCAAATACCCAAGACTATAACGGTTATTTTTCATTCAAACCATCATAGACTTACCATGGTTTTCATTTCCAGCATTTCAGAGTGGTTTTTCTTCAGCATTTCTCTTCTTTCATATCCTTCATCCTCTCGTTATTTTATTCAGCAGTCAGTGCTTTTGAAATTTAAAGTAACAATTACAAAGACGTTCAAAAAAACCATAGTAAGTCTCCTTTGGAGAACTTTCGTTGCCTTAACTGTTTCATATTATGTCACTGTATTGGAATTTGTATGTCTGGTGCTATTTTTTTTTTTTTTTGGCTTGGTGGTTGATTATATTTTAGCTTCATTGGTTGCACTGTATTATTGTTTCTGTTATGCACCTAGGCGCCTTGCTTGCATGCAAGCATGTGGACCATGTGCATGCCTGGTGACCTCAGAGGCCAGGAGGAGGGGTCAGATCCCCCTAGAACTGAAGTTACAGATAGTTGTGAGCTGCCGGGTAGATGCAGAGAATAGAGCCTGCACACTTGGGAAGAGCATCAAGTACTCTTAACTGCTAAGCAACTTTGCCAGACCCCTGGTTTATTATTTTTTTTTTAAATCAGCTCTATTCCTTTATTTTCCACTTTTTTATGTGTGGGGATATTTTGCCTGCATGTATGTATGTATACATACTGCATGCATATGTGTGCCCAGAGAGGCTAGAACAAAGTATTTGATGATTGTGAAATGCCATGTGGGTGCTGGGAATCCAGCCTAGGTCCTCTGGAAGAGCAACCAGTACTCTTAGCCACTGTGACATCGCTCTAGCCCCATCTCTGTTCTTTCAGCTGAAACATTTGCAGGGTTCAAATAGGGCCTGGATGTGCCGAAGTTGAGTGTGTAGTTTAGAAAATAACTTCTCAGTCCAGGAGCGCAGGCTGCCTAGTGTGAGCTCTGTATTATTCCCTGCATGGGGCATTGACTAGGAGAGCAATCACAACAGCTGGGTAGCATCACCACGTCACCACTCTGCAGCTGTCACACCAGCCAGTTAACGGCAGTGGCTCCCTTCATTTTAATAACTATTGGAGGCGAAACACCAAGGATGGTATGGTGCTTATTTATATTTTAGTTAAGATTAGGAATGGGAGGGAAATAGAGTGAGGAAAGATAAGGATTACATATAGAATGAATTTGTTGTTGTTTGATTTTTTGAGACAGGGTTTCTCTGTGTAGCCCTGGCTGTCCTGGACTGGCTGGGTAGACCAGGCTGGCCTCGAATTCATAGAGATCCGCCTGCTTCTGCCTTCCTGAATGCTGGGATTACAGGCACGCACCACCACACCCAGCTTTGAATGACTTTGAAAAGAAAAAAAAAATGAAGTGGGTCAAATAGTTGGGAGGGGAAAATGAAGATAACTGTTGGAGTACACTGATTTTAGAGATAATCAGTGCTATGAAAGGTTGTAATTAAGAAGTAAAAGGAGGAGATAAGAATGACAGAAAGACACAGGAAGAAGAGGGAGTATATGAAATATGGCTGAAGAGTATAGAAGAGAATGTGTTATAGGCTCTGGAGAGTGGTTAAGCCTGATCCCTGCTCTTTCAGAGATCCTGAGTTCACTTCCCAGCATCCATGACAGACGGCTCCTAGGTGCCTTTAACTTCAGCTCCAGGGGATCTGATGCGGTCTTCTGACCTCTTTGGGTACCACCATGCTAGATGTGGCATATATACACAGATGTACACACACTTAAAAATAAATCTTTTTAAAAATATGTGTTGTAGTAAATTCAACAGAGAAGCAAAAGCAACAGCCTTGAGACATCACTGAGCAAAATACAAACAGGAGCAAAAACATCATGGAAATGAAATCATAGAAAACGAGAGATAAAAAGATATTTGCATAGTGACTTACTGGCACAGCTGGGCAGAGGTAAAGGCGATCCCTCTGGCTCTCACACGTTTTGTGTGGCACTGTGTGGGGACTAAATGATAGAAATTCATTGTCCATAATTCTAGAAGCTGGGGAGTTTGAAACCAGGCTATGGTGAAGGCCAGTTCCTCACAGATGGTGCCTGTCACTGCATCCTCATGGGTGGAAATAAGTTCTGTCAAGCCCTTTGGTAAGACCACCAATCCTATACAGGAGGGCAGAGAACTCATGGAATCCCTGAAGCTTCACCCCAATACCATCACCTTGAGGGTTAGGCTTTGAGGAGGGGCACAGACACTCAGAACATAGCATCGTGTAATAAAACGCAGGCCGCCCTTCTATTCTGATTGTTTTCTTTCATAAACACTCACTAAGATGAATGTATTTATTTACTGTCCCCTTCTCCCCCAAGAACTGAGATCCATGGGAGTAAGACTCCTGAATGTCTTTCAGTCTTTTTTCAGTACTTTAAATGTTTATTGAATACCAAGTATGCTGTATCCCTATTCTGTGTGCTGGAGATATTTGAAATAAACGAAACTTTTTTTCCTGCCCCTTTTAGAGCTCTTGCTTTTATTATAAAGGGCAGAAAATAAAGTAATCAACAAATAGGTACATGATGTGGGGGGTGATGCTGCAAAGGAAGAAAAGCCGCTATAATGGAGGTAGTTGAGAAGAGATTTCTTGTATTTTGTCTTGTAGATCTGCCTTCCTTTTGCCATTAATCTAGGCTGTTCTGCTCACAAAAGATGTTTTTCATTAGCTTAGTGAAGAAAATATATGACAATGTGATGGCCAGAAAGGCAAATAATATGCCATGTTGCCTGCACGGTACAACCTCTGAGAGTGAGTTTTCAGTAAACACTTCAAGGTGAGAGAACACTGCAGCGTGCTTTGGTTTCCATAGCTCGGTCCCTTTATCAGAAAGCCAACCTTTACATTGCTTATCTCCAGGGCTCCCATTTTATTTTGTCCCCTCACGCCTTTGTACACATCATAGAAAGCCAGGGAGAGCCTGGTTGTAGGAGGGCTCCGGTTAAGAACTCTAGGAGGACAGCGTGCTCCAGGTTCATAATGGATTGGCTGCAGCTCTTCTTCCTCCATCCTGTATCCCTTTATCAAGGGGCTGCTTTCCCCTTTGCACTCCTGTTTAATTATCTCTGCATCATGGATTCCTTTTCTACATGGGCCAGGTAGGCTGATACTGCTTTTCCATCTAGGAGTACAATAAAAGGGTGGAAATCTGGAAACCACAAAGTGGTCTGCACATGAAAACGTCATACGTTGACTACTCTCTATTTGTAACTTACGCATGTGGTGAGCTTACTTTCCCTGTCACCCATTGCTGGCTGCTTGACAATGACTGTGCATAGATTAGTAGTGGTTCTCAGCCTTCCTAACGCTGAGACCCTTCAATACACTTCCTCATCTTGTGGTGACCCCATTGCTACTCCATAACTGTAATCTTGCTACTGTTATGGATTGTAAGACAAACATCTGATGTGCAGGATATCTAGCACGCAACCCCAAGGGGGTCACAACCTACAGGTTGAGAACCACTGGATTAGAGTAAAGCTGACTCGGAAACTAAGTTCATGTTTGCATTGACTCAAAAATTGAAAAGTTCACGGGAAGTGGGTAATGGGTAGATGCTAAGATGATGCCAGAAGTAGTGAAAGGTAGACATCCTAGGTGCGGACCATGGATCCTGGTCTTCAGTTGCCTTAGTTGCATAGAATTTTGCTTACCCTAAGATTAAGCTGCATTACTTGTATGTTACATGTATAACAAAGTAATAGTTTTAAGGGATGTCTTTGAGTTTTTGTTGTTTGTTTGTTTGTTTGTGTGTTTGTTTTGAGAAATAAATCAAAACAAATCTTGGTAGAATATCCCTCAATTTGGCCTAAAATTGCCACTAAAGATCTGAAGACTGGATCATTTGTTTCTTTGTGAATCCATTAGAAGCAGACTCTGTTTGGAAGAGGACTGTGTGGAAGATCCTTCTGAAAAGTCAGCAGGCTATTGCCCAAAGCCACCTCCCAACTTCTCTTATTTAGGAAACTAAGATTTTTATTTAGGGAAGCTGTGTGTGTGTGTCCCCACATGTGTGTTGTGTTCAGGGTTGAGGCCAGGGCCAGGCACGTGCTGAAAATGCACTCTACTGCTCAGCAGCGCCTCTAAGATCCACCTAGTGTATCACCTTAAGTAAAGTCTACTGTCTCTAATATTTACAATTACTGGGTTTGACTAAGTTAGGATGTGTTTGTTCTCTTGTGTTAACATGGTGGGATGCCGCTTACCCTTGTTTCTGGGAGGTGAAGACAGGGGACAGTTATTTAGTTTTGTTTGGTTTGGTTTTCAAGACAGGGTTTCTCTGTGTAGCGCTGCTGTCCTGGAACTCAGAGATCCCCCTGCCTCTGCCTTCTGAGTGCTGGAATTAAAGGGGTGCGCCACCACTGTGCGGCTTTAGGGGAACAGTTATGAAGAGGTCTTCTATATTTAGGAGGATTCACAAAGCGTTAAAGCAAGGTGAGCATAAAAGTAAGGGTTAGGCCCCATGCACTTGCCTGAAGGCTAAGGTGGCTCATGTATCCTGTTGAGTTGTTTTAAAAAATACTTATTTATTGTATGTATGTGTCTGCTTGTGTGTATGTGCAAGAGCTGGTGAAAGTCACAAGAGGGCATCAGATCCTCTGGAACTGGAGTTGTAGACTATCGTGATTCTCCTGATATGGGTACCTGGAATCAAACGCAGGTTCTCTACAAGAGCAGCAAGTGTTCTTAACCACCGAGATATTTCTCCAACCCAAAGACTGTTGAGTCTTAATTCTCTTGATGAGTCCTTGTATATGTGAATAAACTTTCTGAGGCACCCTGTCCTCACCTATAAGATGCAAATGCAAAATGATTAAAAAAACAAAACAAAACCAACAATAACACAACTTGTCTCATGTCCTTTGTAGCCATGTTCACTTCAGTGTTGAGGAGGAATCCAGAGCCTCAGACATGCGATCAAGGGTTCTACCAGAGTCCCACCCCTAACACTCACATTTATTTACTTGTTTGTTTCTGAGATAGGGACTCACTGTATACCCCAGGCTGGTCTTGAACTCATGATTGTATGGTGTCAGCCCCCTCAGTACTGCTCACTACCAGCTGAAAGCCTAGAGATGAAATCAAAAGCACTCAGTATACACACTCTTCACTGTATACATGTGTAGACATTTGGTGTTTATTAATCCTTTAGGGCTGCTGTCTCTGGGTGGAAGGGTTATTCCTAGCTTGTACTTCTGCTTACAAGGAATGAGTATCCTCTTTATGTTTACGTGGTTAGTTACTGCTCTACTGCTCTGACAAGACACTGACCAGGGCAACTTTCAAAAGGAAGCATTTAATTGGGAGTTTGCTTACAGTTAGTCCATGACCATTAGGGCAAGGAGAGTGATGGTAGGCAGGCATGGCACTAGAGCAGTAGCTGAGACCAATATGTCCTGATCTGCGGGCAAAGAGGCTGAGTGACACACCTCCCCAGACAAGGTTGTGTCTCAATCCTTCCTAAACTGTCCACCAACTGGGAACCAAACATTAAAATAGCTCTGCTTATGGGAGTCATTCTTACTTAAACCACTACACATAGAAGTGTTAATTGGAGTGAAATGGGATGAGTCATCTCAAGCATAGGCAAAAAAAAAAAAAAAAAAAAAAAAAAAAAAAAAAAAAAAATCATCCCAGGAATGGTCTTGGGCTTTTACGTACTAGAATTTTCCACACTGAGGCATCTGCTGATCTCACAGGAAAGTCCAATAATGTTTATTAAAGAGCAGGAGAGAGCAAGAGTGAGTGAGCAAGCTAGACAGAGAAAGAGAGAGGGAGAGAGAGGCAGGCTGGTTCTGGCATGGGCTTTTGAAACCTTCAAACCCACACCTCCTCCAATAAGGCCACACCTCCATCAACAAGACCACACCTCCTAAACCTTCCTAAATAGTTCCACTAACTGTGGCCCAAGCATTCAAACATAGGAGCCTACGGGGGCCATTCTCATTCAAACCAACACAGGCTCTTAGTGGTTACAGCCATTTGTATGAGGGGATGCAAGAGCCACCAGGGTCGCCAAGGGAGGAAACAGGATTTGTCTCCTGAGGTAATCGTTTACAAGGGACCTGGGCTCTATCTCCTTCGGAACGGAAGATTCACTGTGGCAGTAACACAGCTTCTTCACGTTGTATTTGATTCCTTGGGATGAGGACGATGAAATTCATTGCCACACTGTCCTAAGTGTCACCTTGTCCCTTTTCTTTCAGGTACCTCTTTCTCCTGGTTGGAGGAGGTGTCCTGGCTTTGGCTGCCATGGGCCCCTACGCTTTGCTCATCTTCACCCCTGCTCTCTGCGCTGTGGCTCTGGTGTCCTCACTCGGTCCACCGGAAGTCCACAGGCTGACCTTCTTCTTTCAGATGGGCTGGCAGACCCTGTGCCACCTGGGTCTTCACTATACCGAATACTATCTGCAAGAGCCTCCCCCCGTGAGGTAAAGACCCCTGTTCGCTTGGTTGGTGCTAAACGGACTCTAATCCTCGTCATGTCCGCGGAGCATGCGCTTAAGCTACTTGGCTCCTCCCAAGGCTCGGCTTCTTTTCCTAGAAAAGGAGCACTGAGCTGGCAATAGCTTTCTCAACAGTGTTAGAGATAATCAATGCAAATACAGTGCCGTAACTACGGACAGCCATTACGTGCTGCTGCCTGAATAACTCAGTAGCTGGCACTCGCTGTAAGTGTCATCGTGTCTGGCAGTGATGACAGTTTGCTCATCTCAGCCTTGGCAGTTATGGCACAGCCAAACCACAGAGGGCCTGGCTGGCTGCAGCTGCGTGTTATCTTTATTCAGGCTCAGCTGTTTTCATCACTTCCTCCACCCCGGAGAAGGCTAACCACCCAATCTAGAAAGCAACAAAGAACAAAAACCGAGGGCTAATTACAGGCTAGAGACATGTGCCATGAGTCAGTTGGACTGAGAAGATTAGGAAAGCAAGTACCTGGGCTTCTGAGGCGTAATGTTCCTGGCCCCCAGCAGCTGTCAGCTGGCATAGGCCTGTGTCACAGAGCACTGCCCTGGGCGGGGCACCTGTCTGCTTCTAACCTGCTGGAGCTCCTTGGATTTGCCACTCCCCCTGCCTCTAGAATCCTTTAAAAAATTATTACGACAGACCGAACGTGATAACACCCGCCTGTAATCCCAGCGGGAGGAGGTGGGGGCGGGAGGATCAAGAGCTGAAGCTGCCTCAGTTACATAGCAAATTGGAGACCAGCCTGGTGAAGAAGACCCTGTCTCAATCTCAAATATATATATATGGCAATGTTCACCAAAGGCTTCAGGCTTGTGGGCTGGAGAGACGCCTCAGTGGGCGAGACTGCTGTGCAAATCTGTGGACCCAAGTTCAAACCTTGAGAGGTCGTAGAAAAAGCTAGGTGTGGTTGTGTGTGCAGCTGTAACCCCGGCTCTGGCTGGAGTATGTTGGGGGAGGGGGTAGGGACAGGAGTGATTGAGCAGAGCATACACCCCATGGTCTCCTTCAGCCTCCACACACACTCGGGCACACACACACACACACGGGGTGGGGTTGTGTTATGGAGACCGACTTAGGGCTTGCTTCTCTCAGAAAGCTTAGACAGTAAGTGGGCAGGATTACTGTACTAGACAGGATGAGTCAGGAGTGCAGTGGGAAGTGGGGACCTGACAGAGGCCTGAAGGGCGAGCTGAACGGGTTCTGATGGGAGGAAGGCTGGGGCAGATGTGGAGTGACAATGCTTGCTAGCTCGCCAGAGCCGCTGCGGCGGAGCCCACTGACTGGCAGATACACACTACAGAACTGTGTCTCTCCACGGCTTGGGCTCTCCTGGGTTGTCACGTGGTTATCTGTGTGTACATGCGTGTGTGTGTGTGTGTTCGTGTGTCAGATCACACAGGTGGGACTGTGTGTCCTAGCGATTAAGTCAGGTTGAATGAGTGTCTGCCCATGACATCACTTTAACTGCATCCTTGAAGGTCCTGTCTCCAAATATGCTCCCATTGAGTCCCCAGGGGTTAGACCTTCAGAATGTGAACTTGGGGGGACACAGGCTGCCACAAAAGGGAAGTTGGCATGTGGAGGTGACCCTGCTCTCAGGGTAAGTCAGGCAAGAGGATCTGATGTCCTTAAGTCCTTAAGTCCGAATCAGAACCAGCACTGGGGACAGTGCTGGTTTCTTGATTACGCATTGTGTCGTTGCCATTTTCTGTGGCTGTCGTCAGCAATCTCATTACCAGGGGATCGTGGGTGTCACGGTGATAGTTCGGGAGGCTGGTGAAAATGAACCCCAGGTGCTCAGGAGCCACTACTCACCCTGATGTAGTCTTCTGTGCATATCCCTCCAGTCACCAAAATATGACAGCAAAGGCCTGGCTTATATTTAAGAGCTTCAGCTTTCTGTACTCATCTTTTTTATTTTTATTTTTTACTACCAATGCTTGTTTCTTTTGTATCAAATTTCTTCCAGGTCTCCAGTCTTAAATTTCTTTTTACTGATTTTTATCTATGGAATGGTCTAGAACTTACTCTATAGTACAGTCAAGCCTCTAATTCGCTATCCTCCTGCCTCAAACCCTTGGAGCTAGGTGGCTAGGTGTGCACCACTGACTCTGATCCTAATATTTGTAAACGATTCTTTTTTTAAGAGGAACATTTTAATTTATTTATTTAAATTGATATATTGTATGTTTGTTTTGTATGTATTGTATTTTTTTCTTTTTCTTGAGGCAAGGTTTCTCTCATGTAGTCTCTTTGTAGACAATACTGGCCTTGAACTCAGAGATCTGCCTGCCTCTGCTTCCTGAGTGCTGGGACTAAAGGCGTCGTACTTCGACCACCGCCTGGCATGATTAGTGGTTTGGCCCTGGAATGATGCATGGTTTTGAAAGACTCTAAGAGACTTTGTGGAGTGTGATTTACTCTGAGATCTGTGGGCAGGAGAGAGAGAATAGAGTGTGATGTCAAACATACATATATGTAAATCTCTTTCAGATTCTACATCACTCTTTCTTCCCTCATGCTCCTGACGCAGAGAATCACGTCCCTCTCGCTGGACATCTGTGAAGGGAAAGTGGAGGCAGCATCGGGGGGCATCCGGAACAGGAGTTCTTTGTCTGAGCACCTGTGTGAGGCTCTACCCTACTTCAGCTACTTGCTCTTTTTCCCTGCCCTCCTGGGAGGCTCCCTGTGCTCCTTTCAGAGATTTCGGGCTTGTGTTCAGAGACCGAGCTCTTCGCATCCAGGTATCTCGCTCTGGGCTCTGACCCGGAGGGGTCTGCAGATTCTTGGGCTGGAGTGCCTCAAGGGGGCGCTGCGGAGGGCGGCGAGCGCGGGAGCTGGCCTGGAAGACTGCCAGCGGCTGGAGTGCATCTACACCCTGTGGTCCTCCGCGGGGCTCTTTAAACTCACCTACTACTCCCACTGGATCCTGGACGACTCTCTCCTCGTCGCGGCGGGCTTTGCCTCTGAGGCCGGCCAGAGGTCCGGGGAGGAGGGCTACGTCCCTGACGTGGACATCTGGACCCTGGAGACCACCCACAGGATCTCCGAGTTCGCGAGGCAGTGGAACCGAAGCACAGCTCGGTGGCTCAGGCGGCTCGTCTTCCGGCCCAGCCGGCGCTGGCCGGTGCTGCAGACTTTCGCCTTCTCTGCCTGGTGGCACGGGCTCCACCCAGGACAGGTGTTTGGCTTCCTGTGCTGGTCTGTCATGGTGGAGGCCGATTACCTCATTCACACCTTTGCCGACGCGTGTATCAGATCCAGGCCCCTGCGGCTGCTCTACAGAGCCCTCACCTGGGCCCATACCCAGCTCATCATCGCCTACGTCATGCTGGCAGTGGAGGGCCGCAGCCTTTCCTCTCTCTGCCTGCTGTGCTGGTCTTACAACAGTATCTTCCCCGTGGTGTACTGCGTTTTGCTTCTTCTGTTAGTGAAGAGAAAACACAAACGTAACTGAAATCCTTCCCTGCCTTTCATCTCATCCAGCCATAAAAATGAGCTTAGAATGACAGAGGATGCGTTGATGATGAATGTATTTAAACATTTTCATAATAAAAAAGTTTTTAAGTATTAGATGAATAAACCTGCCGGGCTGCCCACGGAACCGGGCTTGCCTGTTGTGGTTTGACTAAGTATGGCCCTCAGAGGTTCATATATTCAAATGCTTAGGCAGTGGCACTATTTGAAAGGTCTAGATGGTGGCCTTGCTGAAGTGTGTCACTAGGGGTGGGCTTTGAGGTTTCAAAAGCTCCAGTCCAGGTCTAGTGTCTTTCTCTCTTCCTGCTGCCTGCTGGTTCAGATGTAGAACTCTCAGCTCCTCCAGCAGCCATGCTTGCAGCCACGCTGATAACGGACCAAACCCCTGACACTGTAAGCCAGCCCCAGCAATTAAAAGCTCTCCTTTGTAAGAGTTTCTGTGGTCGCGGTTTCTGTTCACAGCAGGAGAACACTAAGACTCCTACAGTAACAAGCTGTTCTGTTGCTATTGGGGTGCAAGTCCAGTAGCACCCCAGAGACACACAGACTTACTTTTCTAGATGTGAAAGCGAAGTTCAAGTAAAGCAGTATAGAAAAATGTGAGGTGTCTGTGGGGGGGATAATTCAATGAACGTCTGCCCAGAACTTTGTGAGGTCTTGGGTTCAATCCTCACTACCAGATCGAACAAACAAACAAACAAACAAAAAACAAACACACAAAAAACCCAACCCAGATAAAGCCTCAAAGTACTGAGAACCACATGAAGATGTTATACGCATGGAGCGTCAAATGCCCAGGGTCTCATGCGCCAGCTGTTTCTGGAATCTGAATTATAGCAAGCTGGCTTTTCATTGCTATAATGAAATGTTAGAGACAGGCTAACTTATGAAGAAAAGAAGGGTTAGTTAGGTCTCAGGTTTAGACCTCGAAGTCTAAGATTTGTCGCTCCTATTGGTTATTGTTATGGCTTCTGCTGAGGCCCTGATGGTAGATCGGTAGATGCTGCCATGGCACAGCAGAAGTAAGAGAAGGGACAATGGCTCAAATCACAGAGTCAATCAGGAAGCCGTCGGGACCAGTATTTCTTTCTGTAACAATCCTCCTGGGAAAAATGCTAAGGGGTCACATGAAAACCACCTTCAATTCTGGGTGACATGACTCCATTGGGGTCCATCTCTTAAAGGTTTTGCTACCTGTCAACACTGCCATCCTGGGGACCAGGCCTCCAACCTATGTACCTCTAGGAAACACTCAACCCTAACAAGTCAGGCAAAGTGGCGTAGGACTGGGGTCCCAGTACTCAGGAATCCTAGGCAAGAGAACCCCAAGTCTGAGGCTGTCGAGCACTGCCTCAAGCAAAGAGAAAACAAAGAGTGTATCAGACACAAAGCAAAAATGACAAAACTCAACCATATCACCATGTTGTTCTGTCTCATGAACGAGAGACTCATCCCTAGCCATAAGCTTGAAATTTTTGGTCTATGTGGCCATCCAAATTCTGAAAACATCTCTTACATCATCCTAAGAGACTGGAACTTTTGCTGGACTTCACAGTTGAGTTTAATAATATACCTTGAGGTCTCTGACGATTAAAGGTGGCTATTCTGATGTGGACTCGGGCTGTTTGCTTAACCGGCCTTTAAGAGAACAATGAAACAACCAACCTGCCTTAGACTTCCCATGTAAACAACTTTTACAAGCTAAGCTAATGAATAGTTGCATCTATCTACTCTTCCATGCCTTTGGCCCAGACAATACATGTGTATCATTTGCTGAAAGCAGTTGTCTTAGGATTTCTACTGCTCTGAAGAGACACCACGACCACGGCAGCTCTTACAAGGCAAACATTTAATTAGGGCTCACTTACAGTTCAGAGGTCTAGTCCATTGTCATCATGATGGGAAATTTGGTGGCACCACAGATAGACATGGTGTTGGAGAAGAAGCTGAGAGTTCTACATCCAGATCTGCAGGCAGCAGGAAGAGAGAGAGTGACACTGGGCCTGGCTTGAGCTTCTGAAATCTCAAAGCCCACCCCTAAAAGTGGCTACACTTACTCCAACAAGGTCACACCTCCTAATAGTGTCACTTCCTATGAGCCTATGAGAAACATTTTCATTCAAACCACCACAGCAGCAAATACAGAAATGGAACACAATTTCCTAAAGCCAACTGTGAAGGTTGGTAAACAATGACGGTTATTGTCTGGGTCTGTTGGGATCAGTTGGAGTCAGTGACTTAATCCCTTGTAAAACTCTGTTAAAGATTTCTGCAAATCACCCCATTCCTTTCCCACAGGCAAAGCCCTCTGTGAGGAACAGACATGTAGACATAGTCACACAAGAGACACAGACAAGACACAGATACACAGAGGCAGGCACAGATATGGACTCATGGAACAGAGAGACAGAGGACAGATGGCACACAGCATGAAGCAGAGCGTCCAAAGCTGGACTCATTTTTGGTTAAATGACACCAAGGGGAAGCACTTTTATCTCTTTCCTAATGTGACACTAGTGCATTACTGGTGACATGAAGTCAATCATTAATCATTTAATCCACACATTTTATCTAAACGTAGAAATTTGGATAAAAAAGAAAAAAAAAGGCTAATATTCCCAGAGAAGAATAAATGAAAAACAAACCTGTGCTGATTAATTTTGTCAACTTGACCTAGAGTCACCTAGAAAGAGAAAACCTCAGCTGAGGAGCTGTCCCCTATCAGACCAGATGGAATGTGGGCATGTCTGTGGGGTGTTTTCTTGATGAAAGATTGATGTGAAAGGGTGGGTGGTCCTGAGCTGTATGATTAAGCAGGCTGAATAAGCTATGGCAATGAAGCCTATAAGCAGCATTCCTTCATGGCTTCTGCTTCAACTCCCATCTGTGTTTCTGCCTTAAGGTAGGCTGAAATAAACCCTTTCCTCCCCAAGGTGTGTGTTTGTTTTTGTTTTTTGAGACAGGTTTTCTCTGGGTAGCCTTGGCTGTCTTGGACCCACTCTGTAAATCAGGCTGGCTTCGAACCTACAGAGATCCTCCTGCCTCTGACCGTCTGAGTGCTGGGGTTACAGGTGAGTGCCACCACACCCGGTTTGGGAAGTGTTTTTATCACAGCGACAGAAATCCAACCAGGACACCACCTAACACTTGGTAATTACTTATGTCGTTGCCAAGAGCAAAACCAACGGAAATGTAACAGCGGGAGAGAGTGAGCTCGGGAGGCAAACACGGTCTCTGTAGAACTGTGAGGAGGCTGGCCTTTCCCTGGCTCACCCTACCGAACCATTCCTATGTTTAACATATACCCACACTCACGTCAGAACCTCCAACTTAGCTGGGAGGTAATGCCACATCTGTGGGCACCTGGACGATAGATGATTACTCTTTTTCTTTAAGGAAAGAAAAAGTATGCGTGTGTGTGTGTGTGTGTGTGTGTGTGTGTGTGTGTGTTTTCACAGGCATATGTGTGAGTGCTCAGTGTCTTCCTCAATTGTCCTCAGCCTTATTTTTGAGACACGGCTCCTCACGCAACCTGGAGCTCAGGGATCCAGCTCGAATGCCTGGCCAGCAAGCCCCAGGGACTCACTTGCCTCTGATTCCCCACACACTGCTATGTCCCACTTCTCTGTGGGAGCAGGCGATGGAACTCAGGTCCTGACGTTTGCCCGACAAACATCACTGAGTCATCTCTCCGGCCTGCCTTTTCTTTAAATTGGGTTTTAGGTCAGCTTACTGTTTCCTCACACGTCTGGGCTGTTCTGAGAAAGCATCTCACTATGCAGTCCAGTCTAGATAGACTCAAACCACGATCCTCCTGCTTCTATCTTCTGAGCGCTGGGATTACACGTGTCATCACCACGTCCAGTTTACTAGTTATGACTCACTCTGCTACAAACTAAAAGAAACATATACTTGTTCAAATAGAAATGTCTGGGTACTAACTAAAAGAACCCACCTGGAATGACTTCTGGTTCACCATAAAAGGTATTGTACTGGAGAAGTACAGTGAGAGCGCGCGCGCACGCACACACACACACACACACACACACACACACACACACACACACAGAGTTGAGGGAAGGAGAGTGACTTAGTTATAGGTCATCTAGAAAAGTACAGGTCCACGAGACTAATTCACACTGATACGAGGAATCAAACAAGCCCAAATCTTGGCACAGAGAGCGTGGCCCAACAACCAACGAGGGCTCTGGAGAGCGAAGATGGCACGAATCTGTACAGTCATTTTTTTCTCTTTTCTCCAAGACATGGTTTCTCTGGGTAGCCATGGCTGTCCTGGAGTCACTTTGTAGACCAGGCTGGCCTCGAACAGACAGTGATTCGCCTGCCTCTGCCTCCCCCAAGAGCTGGGATTACAGGTGTGCGCCCTTTCGGCGGATCTGTACTTCCCCAGGCCAGTTTTCTAGACTTTCAATACTCAACAGCCCAGAAGAGCCAAAGTGGACACAGGATTTCCCTCAGTTGGAAGCAGTCAAGAGGAAACGGCTGATGGTCACGGAATGTCAAAGGACCTACAAACATGTCATTATAACGACCATCCTTTGGCTAACCCAGAAAGGGTGTGGAAGGTAGGGGAAAAGAAATTTAATCATCATGTGGCAAGACATTTAATCGTTGTTGCAGCATTATTTACAGGAAAAAAAAAAAAAGACTTTGGGAAAGTTAACAATTAATAGCATTTTAAACAATAACATTAAGTAAATTATGATTGATCATTACAGTGATATTAAAAAATGAGAACTTTGAAAAGCCAGGTGTGGTGGTGCAGGCCTTTAATGCCAGCACTTGAGGGGGGGAGGGGGAGGGGAGGGCCAGAGGCAAGTGGATCTCTTGTGAGTTTGAGGCCAGCCTGGTCTAAAAAGTGAGTCTAGGACAGCCAGGGCTACACAGAGAAACCCTGTCTTGAAAAAAAAAAAAGGAACTCTGTGTGGGGGTGATTCTGGGGGTTGCCTACACGGGTGT